GAACTGTAGTAAGGAGAAGGCGGCAGTCGAGGGCAGCCGGGTGATAGCTCGCATGATTGCACTCAATGTTCGCGACAAGCCGGCTTTCGATTCGCTGTTTGACATCGCCCCCTCCGCTGCCGACCAACCCCTGCCTCCCCGTGGACCGCGCGCCCCGAGCCCGTCCCCACCTAATGGGGCATCCGTGCCGCGTGTTCGCGTAGAGGACGCCAACCTGGGGACGCTGGGGTCGCTCAAGAAGCATCAACTCGTCAACGTTCTCGCAGCGTTCATCGAGGACGGCCTGTTTCCGATCGACCCCAAGCGAGTGCCGGCCTGCATCAACGGTGAGCTTGAGCTTCCTCTGATCAACGAGTTTTGCACACCTTTTGCAGCCAAGCAAAGGCGAGTCTCTCCGGAAGAACGACGCATGATCAGGGCAGAGATTCAGCAGTTGGTAGACCGAGGAGTGATCCGTCAATCCATGTCTCCTTGGGCTGCCCAGTGCTTGTGCGTCAAGAAGAAGGATGGTACGCTGCGACTGTGCATCGACTGGCGTGAACTCAACAAACTCTTGGTCTCCGATAGTGGGGGTTTGGGTGACATGCAGACGATATTCGATGGGTTGAAGGGGAAGAAGTATTTCACTCAGCTAGACCTCGCCTCCGGTTTTCACCAGATGGAAATCGCCGAGAAATACCGTTCCAAGACGGCCTTTCGAGATGCGGATGGAATGCTTTGGGAATTCACGCGCGCGGGTTTTGGCCTGACGGTGCTTCCGGCGGCCTTCACTCGTAGAGTATAGTCGGCTCTGGGGCATCTAGCGGGCGTGTTTAGCTGGCTTGACGACATTCGCATCGCTAGCGACACATGGGAAGAACATCTCGCCACTCTGACGCTCGTTCTGAACCGCCTTCTGGCTGCGGGGCTGTCCGTAAACTTCGCAAAGTGCATTTTCGGCGCAGCATCGCAGGAATTCCTCGGCATGATCATCGACAGCACGGGCCTGTACCCTGCTCCGTCTAAGCTAGATGCAATCGCACGCATGCCTCGCTCACACACCGTAGAAGAGCTGCGCACGTTTTTGGGTCTTACCGGCTACTTGCGTCAGTTTGTACCCAACTACAGTTTGACTGCCGCTCCGCTCACCAACATCCCGCGCAACAAAGCCTTCGCTTCGAAACGTGCACGCAAGCTTCCTATCCCGTGGTCCGTAGCTGAGGAAGACGCCTTCCAGTCTTTGCGAGAAACGTTGGCTTCCCCGAAGGTCCTCGCTTTCCCTGACCTTGAGCGTCCGTTCGAACTGCACACGGATGCTAGCACGCTGGGTGTAGGAGCTTCGCTCATGCAGACAATCGATGGTTTCACCAGAGCGGGGCGTTCGCGAGCCACCGGTTTTCACAAACCGATGCTAGACGCGGGCTCACGGAAATAGAATGCATGGGGGTCCTCTGGGCTATAGACCACTTCCGGCCGTACCTAGCGGGTAGACGGTTCAAATTGGTGACAGACTGTTCTGCCCTCACATGGTTGTTCCGAAGCCGTGAACTCTGCCCCAAGCTGCACAGGTGGGCGCTGCGGCTGATGGAGTACAAACATGGAGCTGGAATGGAAGGCGGGGGTAGAGCACGTAGTGCCCGATGCTTCCTTACCCGGCTGCCTGTGGCGAACCCGGTAGAGGTCGACGTCGACGATTCGTTTCCGTGATCTGTCGTGTGCTGCAGGCGCTGCGGTAGAGACCTTAGGAACGGAGTTGAAGGGCGTAAGGTTGGCCGAGTTGGACCCGGTGCAGGTAGACCAGGTAGGCGATGCTGACTCCCAAACCTCTCACCCCACTCCGGAGGTGGCTGACTTCCATCTGTCCGCCCTTCGAGCGTTGCCTTTCGCTGCATGTGCGGCAGTTGACCATGAGCCTGATGCCTCCCGCCGCAGCGGCCGGACCCGTACCCCTTCGGTACGATTACGACCGATCGGCGACGCGCAGCTGCCCCCGACGAGTGTGCTGGAGGCCCTCCCGGACAGAAAGGTAATCGGCCCCTCCGCGGTCGAATCCTCCGCTCCAGCGCCGTCGCCATCGTCACTACCGCCGTCCCCCGTTAGTCCTGGCCACGACGACATCGGTGAGGTGCTGGCTGCACGGGGGGAGGTTCCGACGTCGTCGTCGAGTCACGCGTCGGATGGAGCATCAGCCATCGATCTGACAGCACGAGTACTCACAAGGCCGTCCGAGCTAGCGCATCGGTAACGAGTCGACACCCATCTGAGCCAGGTCCGCAAGGTTCTGAGCAATGTAGCTGACTCTAGCCAAGGGGGAAGTGAGCGCGACAGGTATACCCTAGGCACCGATGATGTGATTCGGTACAACGATGGCAAGGGAAGAAAACTGCCTGCTATTCCAGTCGCCATGGTTGCTGACATCATCGCGTTGGTACACACGCTACATGGTCATGCAGGAGTAGGAGCAACGCTGTCCCTTCTGCGCGATCATTTCCCCTGGCCCACGATGACGAACGACACTCGACACTACGTGTTGTCATGCGCATGTCGTAGACGCAAGAGACCGCCCAGCAGACGAGTAGCCATGATGCCAGGTAGACCGCTTGAGCCGTGGGACGAGTTGCAAATGGACATCCTCACGATGGACACACTATCGCAAACTGGCAACAACTAGTCTACATCTTGCTCGTGGTAGACCGCGCCTCAAAGTTTCTGTTCGGGTTCCCGCTCGAGACCAAACAAGCTATGGTCGTAGCCAGAGTGGTGGTAGAGCTGTGTCTAACTTACGGAGTTCCGAAGACGGTACGCTGCGATGGAGGCCCAGAGGTGCAGAGGTGGTGAAGCACTTGTGCAGATGGCTGCGGGCAAACATCGTGTTTGGTGCTGCTGATCACCCTCGAGGCCAACGGTCGGTAAAGAGACTGGGGGGATGGCTACAGGAGTTGTTGGCTGAGCTGTGTAGATCCTGGCCTGACCGATGGGATGAGTACGTTTCGCCTGCAATGTGGATCAAACGCACCTTGCCAGACACCTCGCTCCCATCTAACATGACCCCCTTCGAGCTCCTGTTCGGCCGCAAGCCTCGTACGTCGCTGGATTCGTTAGTTCCTCTTACGGACGAGATGGATCAGGAACGAGGACTCGACAACTTCGTGGAGAGGCGCAAGAAAAATCTCCGTGAAGTACGACTCGCCCTCGAGCAGCGGCAGGAGCTTCGAGTTGCTACACGCGCGAAAGCCAACGCCTCTATCGAGAGGTCGTCAGCTGGAGTGGGGGTCATGAAGGACAGCCTGGTGCTCGTGCGCGAGTCCGAGAGTAGTCGACATCGCGACCACAGGGGAAGGAAGCTGCAACACGATCTCTACACAGGACCATGGAAAGTGACGGGGGTAATCCAGCCCGGTCTCAGTGTAGAAGTCATGATGCATGGTAGAAAGAAGCGTAGCCGAAGGGTATCTACGGCCGACGTGAAACCTTTCCACCTCGGAGAACTTCCTTTCCGACACTCGCTAGCCGAAGAGTTCGCCCAGGATGCGTGGGGACCCGATTTCAAATTGCCTCCAGGAGCAAAAGAGAGTTTGGGTCTAGTCACTATCGTCGACTGTCGCAGAGTTCAACCAGCTTCTGGCAAGCGAACTGTTTGGGAGTACAAGGGAAAATCAGGGAATGGTGTAGTGTCGGACTGGCTGCCGGAAGAGACCATGCGACGCAGTTTCACACCCCTTCAGTTGGATTGCTTCGTTGCGCTCTGGCATTTGTATTTTCCCCAGCTGGCAAACGCTTCTGCACCCGACTCAGTCAAGCCCCGTACCCCGTTGTCCCGTGCCCAAGCCTTGCACGTATTCCCGATAGGTTTTACCCTCCAGAAGGAGTTAGCCGGAGGAATCCTGCTTCAGGGTCAGGTGTATGATTACCTTTCCCCCTACTGGCGCGTGCGCTACACTGACGGGAACTGGGAGGAGCTGTCCAGACGCGAACTGGAAAGACTTTCGAGATAGCCTTGGGGGGAGGGATTTCGAGCTAGTGTGATGGCTGGACGGTGGGGATGCGTGGGGTTAGTGACACCGTCTGCGGGTGATAATGGATGTCCGTACAAGGTTTGGTCGTATGTATGTACCATGGATAGTTTTTGTTGGGGTGCTCGGCAGAGTATACTGTCTACGGGGCCTCCGGGGGGGTACGCGGATGGAATGTATTGACGGACATGCTGCATGGGCGATGGTGTGGCCTACCGCATGTCTCTCACTCTCTAAGCAACAAGGTCTCAAGGTCTTGAGTCAACCTTTTTTCTCTTTCGGCCTCTGACGAGCTACCGCACCCAAACACAATATATTGTAAGGCCTGGTGTTGGTAGTGGGTATTGGCGTCTGAGCGGTGGGAGCTGGGCCATCGGGGCAGCGGACACCATTTTCATAGCTGGGATCGCGGCCAAAGGGGGCGAGGACAGCAGTGCATAGCTGGTGCGGTGGCCATTGCGGGGACCGGGATAGCAGGGTTTATAGCTGGGACAGCACTTCGAGGCTGGGACAGCAGGGAGGGTTTAGAGTTTTAGTTTGATATGTCTGGAACGGAGGAGGACGCAACTCTGAGCGCGAGGTTGGATGAGGCGCTACGAGCTATAGAGGAGGCCAAGGCTGAGACGAAGGAGGCCAAAGCTGAAACGGAGGAGCTTTGGGCAGCACAGCGGCGGTCGGCGGGTGCACCTGCCGGCAGCAGCTCAGGAGGCGACGGTCTAGTTGCTCCTGGAGGGGCTTCATCTGCACCGGTGAGGCCAATGTGGCCAGGCGGGGTGAGTCATGATGGCGGTACTGGGGTGCCGGGCTTGCCTCTGGGAGGTACAATTGTCAGAACTCCTGTGCCTAGAATCCCGCCTAATTGCACCGCCGACACTTTTCTCAGTTGGCGGAGACGCTTTCTGGCCTACGTGGACAACCACAATCTCCAGCACACAATCTTCGGCAGTGCTGAGGTTCCCGTTGTCAGTTGTCAGGATGAAGGATACTTGACACGCCAGTATGGTGCACAGCTGGTTGTTGAGCACAAGAGGACATGGAGTTTTATCTTGGAGGCAGCGGTGGGGGCCCCATTTGAGAACAACCTGTACTCTTGCCATTCCGTGGCAGGGGCGTGGAGGATGATGGAGGATTGGTATTTGCCGAACCACCCAGCTGATTGTCAGCTCCTCGTCGCCGAGCTAGATAATATAACCATGAGTGATGATGAGGACCCCAAGCTTTTCTTCTCGCGCGTGGCACAACTGGAGACCAAGTTGCGGGCTGTGGGCATTGCTAAGAGTGAGCAGGAAGTTGTGCGGATCCTTGTGCGCCAACTCCCCGCACGCTACGATGTCGAGAAGCGCACCAGTCTTTCCAATCGTGATTTAACCCGCGCTGAGTTGCAGGACGTCGTGCGTGGTCGATATGCCACGCTCAAGGCCAGCGAGATGAGGGAGCGAGGGTCGGCAGCTTTGACGCCGGCGGTTTCTGTCAACCCCCATGCTCTTGTTGTGGGCCGTGGTTTTGGACACGGCGGCAACGGGGGGAGCGGGGGGGGCGGAGGCCAACGGCGGAATGGCAACAACGGCGACGGCCGCGGGCAACACTGGTCCTCTGGGGGCGGTGTTGTCCAACAGCAACAGCCGCAGTTGCAGGTGCAGCAGTACCGGCAGCCGCAACAGTCGCAGCGGCAGATGCAACAGCCGAACAAACAGCCGCAGCGGCAGATGCAACAGTCGTACCCACAGCCGCAGCAGCAGATGCGACAGCAGCAGCCGTACCAACAGCAGTCGCAGATGCAGCCGTACCGGCAGTCGCAGCAGCAGCCGCAGCAGCAGCGGCAGCAGCAACAGCCCGCTTTGAACGGTGTTGGTGGCATCTACGATTGCGGTAGTAATGCCGTGTATCATCAGCCGGAATCACTACCTCCACCTGGCGCGCCGATGGGCACAGTGCACAGATGCGGCCGCTGTGGAAGGCACGGTCACCACGCCATAGATTGCGCCGCCCGCCGCAGGTTCGAGGGCACGTANAATGCCGTGTATCATCAGCCGGAATCACTACCTCCACCTGGCGCACCGATGGGCACAGTGCGCAGATGCGGCCGCTGTGGAAGGCACGGTCACCACGCCATAGATTGCGCCGCCCCCCGCAGGTTCGAGGGCACGTGCGGTGCATGCGGCCAGTACGGTCACATGTGGCGCAACTGTGCCAAGAGCAACCGGCACCCCCACCTCAACGTCGTCACTTCTGCTGGTGCCCTCGGTGCGGAGTACGCGTACACCACTGCGGATACATCGGCCGTCCAATTTCGTGATGTCCCGGCGGCCGATGGCGTATACTACAGTGACACCATGCTGGCCGGCGCTGGTGGCGGCGGCAACGGTGGTGGTGGTGCTGGCGGTGGCGGCAGCGGCGGTGACAATGGCGATGGTGGCGGTGGAGCGATCGTACAGCAGCAGGTAGTGACACCGGGCGAGCCCTACGTTGATTTTGTTGACATTTTCCACGGCAGCGGCGGCGTGGAAGTTGAAAATGGCCGCGGCAGCGGTGGAAGTGACGCGGCGGGAGCGGGCCCTGAGGCGCTTGGCAACGGCGAGGGTACCTTCGGTGGCGGTCTCTTCGCGATGCACCTTGTCTGTTCCGTTACCTCATCCCCCCCGTGCGCGAACCATCCGACCTTTCCCACATCGCCCGGGTTCGACGGTCTTCCTTGAAGACACCGGCGCCGTAGTCCACGTTGTCCCTTCTGGGGAAAAGGTGTACAACAGGCGCCCGCCGCTCCCGGAGGAGCGACTACTCATGCTTGGCGACGGTAAGCACATCCCGGTAGAGTTTTTCGGTGACTTGGATGTGATCTTCCACTGCCCTGAGGACGTGCGCGTCACCCTGCAGAATGTTGGTGTGGTACCGGGTTTGGCGCTAGATATTCTGTCGCTGAACAAGATCCAGGATCGCCATGAGATCAAGCTTAACCGGCATGGAGCATCGATCTTGGGGGGGCGAGTGCGCATGACAAAATTCCCTCACGGGAATTACATCCAGGGGACTCGCGTTGATCCACTGCCTCAACGCGACTCACCTCCTCAGCCCCCCGCGATGGTTGCGGCGATGCTACGGCCTGGCACGCAATCCAGCATCGACTACAACGCTCTTCACTGCTCCCTCGGTCATGCCAATTCCAAGACGCTGTACGAGACTGCCAAGCAGATGGGTATCAAGGTGACCGGCACTCCGGAGTACTGCGATGGATGTGCGGAGTCGAAGGCGATTCAGCGCTCGGTCCCCAAGGTCATCTCCCCCTCCCGCCGGACGACGCGGCCTCTTGAGCGTGTCGCGATGGACCTAGCCGGTCCGTTCGGCCAATCCAGCGGCGGTGCCAAGTACGTGATGCAGATCCTGGACCACCATACCAACTACGGATGGATTTGCTTTCTGCGGGAGAAGAGC